TAATTCAATTTGTTGAAGTGAGCTTTTAGATTTCTCCACGAGTTTATTAATCATCTCTCCCGCTAACCCTGGACGTGATTGGTTGTTTTTGTGTGTTTTCACACCTTCTAGGCTACTTGTATTAGAACTGATTGTTACTTTGACTTGAACTTCGACCCTTTGTGCGTGAGGTTTCTTTCTTATCGGTTGATAAATTTCGTCAATCTCGATGTGTCTATTGATGGATGATTCACTGGAATGCCAAACTTCTAAAGATTCTTTAGCATTTTTGTTGTTTCCTCTGTCTAATATTTGAACATTGTCCCAATCGAATTGATGCTCGTGGTTGTCTGTATGTAGTGATATGAGGGAGTGGATGTCATGTCTTCTGACGGCTAGCTTATGTTCGTGGATACGAAGATGAAGGGGACGTCCACTTTGGCCAATGTAGTGTTTTTCGCACTTGTTACAATTTATTTTGTAGATGATGTTGGTTTTGTCTTCTTTCGCTGTTGAGTCTTTTGGTTGACATTGAACTGAGTGAAGGGAAGGTGTGAAAACGCACAAAAACAACCAATCACGTCCAAGGTCACCGGGAGAGATGAATCATATACTCGTGGAGAAACTTAAAAGCTCACTTCAACAAACTGAAGTATGCGCTGAAGATGTCACCTAGTAGGGTGATGAAAGCTTCGCAAATTAACCATCCAGCTCGGAGAACCTAACCACATCAAAATCATCCACCTGAGCTACAAATGTTCTTCATCATATCTAAATCTTACGAGCGTGACACGCTTTCTCTCTGTTCGAAAGTGGGAAGACTTCACCAAAAGGTAGGGATACACCAGAGAGCAATTATTCTTTCTCCATGAGTGACTTCTTCATCAAATCCTACTGACCAGTGTCAGATACAAACCACCAGTCAACTCCTCTTTGGGATGAAAATTGGCCGAACAATGTGGAAGACGAATGGTAAAATTAATGATTACAGACGCACATTATCGGATCAACAAATATCAACAAATAATAAATGTCCAAAAAGAAAAACTAGAGAAAACCCTCAACCAGGAACGCCTGTCGACGCTGATCACCACGATTATAATGTCAAGTAGAAGAGTCCAAGATTAGAAAATAACAACCAGACAAAACACCTATTGACTGCGTAGTCAACCTATCAAAACAACCACTATCGAAAACGGAACAACAACTACTACAAAAAGGATTAAACTATAACACCGGAGATGCCTCGAAAACTGATTTCTTCGCTGCCCTTGAATCATTACTCAAATCAGAAAACTTGAACGAGGAAACACAGGGAGAGATACGTCAAACAATTGTACCAATGGTCAAGCAGAAAAAACAACACACACAACTCAACTCTGAAGAAGTAAAGGCCCTCAAAAAGCTGAAAAGTAGGAAAGACATCGTCATTCTACCAGCCAACAAAGGAAGAACAACAGTAGTCATGGACAGAGAAGAATACACCAAGAAAGCTGAAAAACTACTCAAAGACGAGGATGTATACCAACAACTTTCAACAAATCTCACACAAACATTGGACAACCGCATCCAAAGGACCCTCAACAAGCTCACAAATGGCGAATGAAATCCAGTGAACCAGTCCTACCCCGATTCTACGGCAGACCCAAAATACACAAACCAAATATCCCACTACAACCAATTTTATCGCTCCCAGGAACTCCAACATATAACTTATCCAAAGAATTATACAGAAAACTGAAACTTTTAACGGAATCTTGCGATCACTCCATCAACTCTGCTATCCAATTTCTAGAGAAAATCAAAGGCATCCAAATAGATGAACAAGAAATAATGATATTCTTCGACGTCACAGCATTATATACCTCAATCGAACAAAAACTAGCGAAGGAGACCATGGAACAATTACTCATCAACGACGAACAGCTCCAACAACGATCAAAAATGCAACACACAAGCTGGATGAAGTGCATAAACCTATGCCTAACAACGTACTTCCAATTCAACGGCTAAATATATGAACAAGTCAAAGGAACACCCATGGGGTCGCCAATATCAGGTTTGATTGCAGAAGCAGTGATGCAAAGGCTCTAAAATATAATCCTACCGGGGATCAAACCCAAGATTTGGATACGTTACGTGGACGACATATTTGTAATAATCAAAAGAAACGAGTTAGATAAAACTCACAACTTAATAAACAACGTCTTCAACGGCATCAAATTCACAAGAGAAGAGGAATGAGAGAACAAAATCCCATTTTTGGACGTCTTAGTCAAGAGAACAACCACAGAGGAATTATAAACTCAAGTTCATAGAAAATCAACTCGCATAGAACAAATACTGAATTACAACTGCAACAACCCAATAACACACAAGAGGAATTGCATACAAACACTATTCAAAAGGGGGCAGGAATCATTGCAGCACTCCCACCTTAAGGAAAATTGAAGAAAGATATCTCATGGACGTCTTCAAAACAAAATGGATATCCACGAAATTTCATCAAAAGACATATACCTTCAAGCCAACCTATCAAACCAAAAGCACCCAAGGAAAGCAAAAAGAAAGTCGCCCTGCCATATATAAATGATATATCAGAAATCAATGCCAGACTCGTCAAACCTTTAGGAATTGACGTCGCACACAAACCAACAAAATCACTTCACTTAATTCTATGTCAACCAAAAGACTCAACAGCGAAAGAAGACAAAACCAACATCATCTACAAGATAAATTGTAACAACTGCGAAAAACACTACATTGGCCAAAGTGGACGTCCCCTTCATCTTCGTATCCACGAACATAAGCTAGCCGTCAGAAGACATGACATCCACTCCCTCATATCACTACATACAGACAACCACGAGCATCAATTCGATTGGGACAATGTTCAAATATTAGACAGAGGAAACAACAAAAGTGCTAGAGAATTTTTAGAAGCTTGGCATTCCAGTGAATCATCCATCAATAGACACATCGAGATTGACGAAATTTATCAACCGATAAGAAAGAAACCTCACGCACAAAGGGTCGAAGTTCAAGTCAAAGTAACAATCAGTTCTAATACAAGTAGCCTAGAAGGTGTGAAAACACACAGAAACAACCAATCACGTCCAGGTCACCAGGAGAGATGATTAACAAAATCGTGGAGAAATCTAAAAGCTCACTTCAACAAATTGAATTATTTGCTGAATATGTTACCTAGTTGGGTGAGGAAAGCTTCGCAGTTTAGCCATCCAGCTCAGAGAACACAACCACATGAAAAATGTATCATTTCTTGAAAATATCACTGTTTATCCTCGTACTAAATATCAATTAACTGTTTTAGTTTGGATGAAAAAGTGTCCTGTTATGCTGTGTTTCAAGTAGATATCTTCAAAAAGAAACTGGTTGTGCGAGGCTGTTTTAAAATAGTTTGGATGGCATAGTTATTCTCACTTTTCTAATTTTTATACTCATGGGATGTGAAAGAAGAATATGCAATTCCTAGTTCACTTGCTAGCTAAAACATAAGCACGTCTAGTTTATCAATAAATGTGTGATATATATTAACAGGAAGTTTATATTTAGTTGATCTGAGCGGGTGATGTTGATCGTGATCTTAAACTTTATTTTGTTTTAATCTTATGTTAGTCATGTGCTAGATATCAGTGATATAATCTGCATTGTGTGTGTGTGGTGTTATTAGTATGTATTACTAATAAATGTATTCTATTATCAGTAAGTAGTAATAATCCTTATCCAGAAAATAATGGATATTGCGAAATCTGACTGCTTATGTATAAATGCATGTATATATATATAAATATATATGCTGATAACAATACATACAAAACGAATCAATACGGAAACCATTTGCTCAAATTTTTCACTAGATATCAAGTGAATATCGTTCAAATTTATCTTTATTTGATAGTGATTACCAGCTGAACTCTCGGAAATCGACTAAGTTGGGTAACAAGATCAATAAACAGTGCCATCGCATTTTTGATTTAGTTGACAGGGGAAGCACTAACGTTCGTACATTGAATGTAGAATATTCTGCATAAACGTTCGTGATTTCATTTTCTATTCGTCACTGAAGCGTTTGAGAATCAGTAAGAACTAACCTTAGCTTTTCTTACAGCCACAGTAGACCTCACAATAGTAGCATATATCACACCAGACTAGTTATATACCTTTACTACTTGACTACTTTTCACCAGTGTGATAACTCTGTTCATATCGCCTTAATTTTCTAATTTTATTATCACTATCGTCAGTTCTCACTTCTCAAACTCGCATTCAGCTTATCCCACTCAACTGTTTATTTGTTTCCTTGTAGTGTTCGTGCCACCTTTCACGCCACTGAGTAAAATGCACTCTCTAAAGCCCATTCTTTTGTTGAATATGAACACATAAACACTTCACTCAGCCAGCTAAACTCATTCATCTCACGTTCACACTGACTACATATTTTATATATCTTTAAACTGTAATAAAAACTAATGGACTGTAATTCCATCTTGTGCGTTAACCACATTATTATTTATTATTTTATTTATTCCTTCACGTTCCCAATGGAATATAGGGCTTCAAGCTAGTGGCTTGAAGTTTCTGTAGCAGTGTTTATTTTTACAGGATGGGGTTGCTAGCCTCATGCCTAACCTTTCCCCTTAACCAGCTTTATTTCTGGCTTAGCGAGGTAACGAAGTGCGTCGGCCGGGTATCGAACCCCGGACCATGTGCACGGTCGGCGAGCGTCCTAACCGCTATGCCACCGACGTACGTCAACCACATTACAGCTTCCCAAATGATTTTAATTCACATTTAATGTTATCAGCAAGAGATTTATGCCAGCAGAGCTTGATGAAATTACAGATGACACTTATTTGCTCTGATTATTATTTTTCTAAATATTTTATATAAATTTTCAAGCCTCTGGAAATCTACTATTATGCAAGCTGATTGGGTGATCGCAGTATGAAGTATATTTTAATCATTTCAACTGTTCATTTTAGAAAAAATGAAAAAAATACTGCAAGCCTGGAATCTATTTTCTTTTTACTGTTATCTTTCCATATAATATATAAGTTGTGAATGTAAAGAAAGTGGTGCAAAAAATTATTATGATAATGATGTTTCTATTCATATTTTTAAGAAAAGAAAATCCTTGAGAATCATAGGACTTGAACATAACAAAGGACATAAATCATTCTAAATTATGTCTATATCCTCACGTGCATTGAAAAAAATGTCTGCAGTTAATTAAAATCTTCGTGATCTTGTGGAACGTCTTATTCTATCTACAGTCCGTTTTTCGTAATGACGTAGTTCCAAACTTGTGATCAGTTCGATTTCTAGGCATCCCAGTACTACGATCCATTCGCACACTGCACTCCATTTAAATTCTTCATATCCCTTCAACACAAATACAATAGGAAACATGCTTGAGAAGCAAGTAAAACGGAAACACGAAGTAATATATTTATATATATACACATAATGACAGCCACGTTCAACTCAAAAGGAAAAAAGGTTACAATCATTCAGTGCTACGCGCCTACAAACGCCTCAGAACATGAGAAGAAGGAGGATTTCTATAGTCAACTACAAACAGTAATGGACAACGTCCCAAAGAGCTATATCAAAATCCTGATGGGCGACATGAATGCAAAACTGGGAGGAGACAATACAGGAAGAGAACTCACCATGGGTCGTGAGGCCCTCGGTGAAATGAACGAAAATGGTGAACTCTTCTCAGACTTCTGCGCCTTCAATGATTTGGTGATTGGTGGCAGTGTGTTCAAACACAGGGATATACACAAGGCAACATGGATTTCACCAGATGGACACACCAAAAACCAGATAGACTTCATTTCAATCTCAAGGAAGTGGAGACGGAGCCTACTGGACACAAGATCGAGGAGAGGAGCAGATGTGGGTTCAGACCACTATCTGGTACAAGGGACTTTCAAGGTGAAGCTGAAAGCCTCGAGGATACCTGGGGATAGGCCACAATGCAAGTTCAACACTCACAAACTGAAGGACACAATCACACAGGACATTTTCACTGCAACTGTCAGAGCAAAGCAGGAAACACTACGTGGCACCACTGAGGAATCATCCGTGGAAGACCATTGGAACTCTCTGAAGGTAATTTTCAACGAAACGTGCTCAACGGTTTTAGGAAGAAAGAAGAAACAAGACAAGGAATGGCTCTCAACAGACACTTGGAAACTAATAGAGGAGAGGAGAAAAGTGAAAGAGAAAATGATTCAATGCAAAGATGGACAAGAGTTTGAGACGCTGAACTCAACTTACACAGCACTGGACAAAGAAGTGAAGAAGAGTGCCAGGAAGGACAAAAGACCATTCTACGACAACCTGGCTACTGAAGCCGAGAAGGCAGCAGGCAAAAGGGACCTGAGGACACTATATCAGATAACCAAGTCTCTATGCGGGAAGAGATCAACACAAGTGAAACCTATAAAAGACAGCCAAGGGAACCCAATTACCAAAGAAGAAAGACAGATTAAACAATGGGCGGACCACTTCAAAGGACTCTTGAACCGACCACCACCTACAACCCGTCCAGAAATACCAACAACAGCACGTACACAACTGCAAGTTGACACCAATCCTCCAACGAAAACTGAAGTCATGAATGCATTCAAGCTTCTGAAAGCTGGAAAAGCAGCTGGACCAGATGGAATACCCCCGGAAGCACTGAAAACGGACCCAGAAACGACGGCAGATATGCTGACTCCATTATTGCAAAACGTCTGGAAGGAGGGAAAGGTGCCTACTGACTGGAGGAAAGGTTACCTCGTGAAGCTACCAAAGAAGGGCGACCTAGGACTCTGCAAGAACTGGCGAGGAATCATGCTCCTGTCGACGCCAAGTAAAATTCTGAGTCGCATCATCCTGGAGAGAATAAAGGACGCACTGGATACAGAACTCTGACCAGAACAAGCTGGATTCAGGAAAGGCAAATCATGTTCTGACCAAATTGCAACTCTACGCATTATCATCGAACAAAGCATGGAATGGCAATCAAATCTCTACCTCAACTTCATAGACTTTGAGAAGGCCTTCGACAGCGTTGACCGCGAAGTAATTTGGAAACTACTCGAGTACTACGGCGTACCCCAAATATTCATCAACCTTATTCAACAACTGTACGACAACGGCACATGTCAAGTGATCCACAACGGAAAACTCAGCGAAGCGTTTGGAGTAAACACAGGAGTCAGACAAGGGTGCTTATTATCACCAATGATATTCCTAATTGTCGTGGACTGGATTATGCGTCAGACAGTGGGAAACGAGAAGACAGGGATATCCTGGACCGACGTGAAGAACCTAGAAGACCTGGATTTTGCGGATGATTTATGTTTGATATCACACAAAATCGAAGACTTACAAGCAAAAACCGACAAACTGGTCGAAGAAGCAGCAAAGACAGGACTCCAGGTGAACATAAACAAGACGGAGGTTATGAAAATAACCAACCAACAACAGCAGCAACATCCAGTGCCAATCACCATCAACGGGAGGGATTTGAAAGAGGTCACTTCTTTCACTTATCTGGGGAGCATTGTCTCAACTACAGGAGGAACGGACGAGGATGTCAAATCGAGCGAGAATCGGGAAGGCGAGAAACACATTCATCAACCTGAAACCAATCTGGAAATCTTCGTCACTCACCATCAACAACAAAATTCGGATTTTCAATACAAACGTCAAGTCAATTTTGCTTTACGGATCAGAAACTTGGCGGGTCACCAAGAATATTTTCAACAGGTTGCAGACCTTTATCAACAACTATCTTCGCTCCATACTGAAGATTATATGGCCAGAAAGAATCACAAACAAGAAGCTATGGGAACAAACGAAACAGGAACCAATCGCCCAACAAATATGCAGGAGGAAGTGGAGATGGATTGGACACTCGCTGAGGAGGCCGTTGAGTGACATCGCGCGTCAAGCCCTCGAGTGGAACCCGAAAGGGAAGCGGCGTGTGGGACGTCCAAGGGTGACATGGAGGAGATCGTGTGAGGAGGAGATGAAACAGTATGGAATAACATGGACGCAAGTGAAAAGAACAGCACAAGACAGAAGCAAGTGGAGACGTGCAGTTGAAGCCCTATGTTCCACTAGGAACCCAAGGGAACAATAATAATAATATACACATATGTATACATTTTTTAAATTTTGATTATAGCTTGATTCCACATGGTAATTTTGGTACAAGTATGGAATGTTCAGCATGTGATATCGGTAGCCAAAATATTGCAGGCCAACCATTGATATCAAGTGTGCGTCGGTAGGGGATCGAACACCGGACTATGTGCATGGTGGGCAAGCGTCCTAACCACTGTGCCAATGACGCACAGAGACAGAATATGCAATCATAGATTTCACACTTTACAACTTTTAGAAATCTCAAAAGAGTTTTATATTAAAGTTCTATCAGGCAGATTAGTCAAAGTCAAAGATGCAAGAGAATGAGAGCACTAGGTAATCTAAAGTGGCCAGTCAGAGTAAACCGAACCAAAATGATTGAAATGGAAAAACCAGCGTATTTTTGAAAGAGATGTCTAGTATACTCCCTATCTTGTAGGATTATGGGTATCCATCAAAATATCTATCCTGTAAGGTTAAGGGTCAGGATTTAACGTAAGGATGAGGAACCAGGGGTTACAATCAGATTCTAAGGACTTTTCCGAGACTAAATGTTCCATGTAAATTCTGAAGAAAGTTTCTTAATAAAACTGACTTCAAAATTGTATCATAATGCCATTCTTTCCATAAGATCTGAATTGTACACAAGGCTTCACCAGAACACACCATTTCATTAGATTCTTGGTTTCTGGTTTCTCTTCCGTTCATTGGCTTGGAATATGAGGTCATTCAATGATTACCTCAGGGTATATCCGATTTATCTCCATTTCCATCTGCATATTCGTTAGACAACACGTTCTTGTCTGGCTGTTTACTGATTGATCATCCATTCCAACTGGCCATACCATCTTCACTATAGGAACAGGACCAGGTTGCCAGTGCAGATTTGCAGCAGAATGTTGGAAATGCCCTCAGTGATGCACAAGGACAGTCTTCAGACAGTACAGAAGCACTGACGTGACATTAGTGTTGAAAATTTCGATATTGTTATTCGTAATATGTGCTGTAACTCACCAAACTGATTCCAGAGTAATAAACACATGCCATGCTTTCTTCATGCTGGCTGATAGACATTTTCATTCGCATCGCTCGTAATTAAAACGGTCCTATGCAGATAAGACGACTTTGTTCGAATTCCTTCGGTTGAAGGTGATGGGTAATGATATTTGTTGGTTGGTATCTTTGTCACCTCTGTCTTCCCTATGTTCACTCGTAGCGCCGCTTTATTATCCCCTCTGTCAGCTTGATGCATTTCGTTTGTAAGCCAGTGAGTTTGTGTGAAATGAAGTACAAATCATCTGCAAAATCCAGATATTCTCTGAGCTTTATGTCAGTTCAACAAATGACCGCCTTCTCGCTCCCCATATCCTGCCGCATGATGCAGTCCACCACAGACAGGAAAGTGATCGATGACAGTAGGAGACCTCGTCTTACTCATATCTTTACTTGATACACTTCACTCGGCTATCTGTCGTGAATGAATTGACATGCGCCGCCATCTTATAGCTTCTAAAGAGCGTTTGTAAACGCCTGAGTCACTGCACTTCGTCTCGTTCGGGTGGTTAACAAATTACTTCATGGTTGCCTCTATAGAAAGTCTTTCAAAATGCTTAAGCTTAAGGTAAATAGTTGACCGGACTTTCAGACTGTGTCTGATACTCGCAATTAGTATTGCTATTCAGAATTATATGATTTGTTTCCACTGAATCCAGTCTGTATCTGACAGAATCCTCCATCTAGTGCATCTTTTTAATCTCCACGATAAGGTGGCTTAACAGTTTGCTTAGGTGGACAATAGCCACGTCAGTCTTTACATTGACGTCGGTTGCCTTTCTCTGACAGTTTGACAGAGTTACGTTTCTCGTAGTCATCAGGTACCTTTCTTTACTCCCAAACCTTCTTCAGTAGTAGAGTCAGTAGGTGGTCAACTATGGTTTCCTAGTCTGTTTTCAGTGTATTATTACATACGAAAACTTTGACTGGCTGCCTCCATATCATTCGTAATCTCGTCCTCTCGGAACACCAAACTAACCTGTACATATTATTTGACTTACCGGTTCATGTGGTTTTATATAGTAGAAGTCTTTCGCTTTCAAAATTGGCAGACCAATCTTATTGTAGTATATGACTGTAATATGGGAAAGTTAGACATGGTCGAAATTCAATTAGTCAAAGACACAGTAAAATACTTCATCAAAGAAACATTTGCTTATTTGAAATACCTACATAGTCAAACGATAAAATAAGAACTCTAAAGGTGGATAATTCAGATTCGACTTGTGCTATAACGAATAGAATTATCAAAACTACAGTGTGAAATTGAATTTACAACTCAGGACTTCAGGCAACTTTTGTTGGTACTCTGTCTACTCTCATTAACAAAAATGCCTCCGGTGAACTTAACACCGAATCACTAAAATGAGTCATTTCACAACTTATTTGTTCTTCAGAAAATAACACTGACTCTTAACAGTTCAATCTGTGGACTGGCAACAAAACACTTTTGAATCATCACTGAACCTTTGAGAAGCAATGGGTTTTGTAAAGTAGTGAGATCCCTAAAAGTGTGCTAATAATGATTCTCAGTTAGCAGAATTTCAATAACCTCGTGAATTGAGAATGTCTATGAGTGCCTGGTAAATATACTCAGCTTGTTTGCATTACTATAATTTTGCTTTGCAAAGAAAAAACATTATCTGAATGGTGACTGGTGAAATTATTTTTTATATAAATATTCAGATAGAAATACTCTCTTCGAGTGTGACTCACAAAAATATGCACCAAGAATCATCTGAATCCAAACAATTAATCTAGCCAAGAAAAACCATTTCCGTGGACGGAAAGAATATAAAACAAGCAGAGCACCCAATGGATTCGAAACGATGTGACCATAGAAATTCAGTAGAGAGAAGCAATAATGTATAAAATTGTGAGTTTTTGCCTGTAAAACAAATGGTGTTATAAAGTTATTACATCATTCAAAAACTAAGCCACAATATTTTGCGTAGCACACACTGCATGACAATGGATGGAATGTTAATGCGTATATGTTTATATAACAGGAAGCCTAAATGATCCTGAAATCATTGTGATAGGAGAGATTACCCTAGAGAGAACCCTAGAGGGAACCTTAGCTTCACACATATTATTACTACTATTAGCTACATGGTGTAATATGTGGTTCATTCCAAAATTTATTTGAAAGTAACAGAACGATGGAATCTTTGTCATTCGAGTAAATTTGTGTTGCATGAAAACTTTGTTCATTTAAGTAACCCCAACTCTCTAATGATGTGTCAAGTGAATCAAGCGAATCTGAAACACATCTAACAGAAATATTAGCTGATCATCAATGAAAGGCATTCAGAACACAACGACCACTGTGGCTTTCAATTCTGGCGCTGTAAAAGCTGCTTAACTTAATTTTCAAGCTTCTCCTGTTGTTGGAATTTCCACTCTGTTGGAGAGTGAATCTGGGAAAATATCCGTTGTATTTATTATATATGGTAACAAATGAACTGAATGTAAGAGTGATATAAGTGATACTAACAAATTCACACATATTTTAAGCAATTGGAAATTTCAAAGTGCAGCAGTCTTAATTCATCTGCTTATGATAAAACCCATCTGAGGCTACTCTGCAGTTTGACACTTGAAGTTCAAAGATCCGGACACGACTTCCAAACAAGTTGACTTCTGGTAATCTAGTAATACATTATTGGCATGATCAATAAACCCTCTATTTCACTATTTTCAATATTAAGTGGTGAATTTCGTTATTCCGTAAGTTAACGTGTTCACTTGAAAACACTTGGATAAGCGTTTTTACAAAGAAGACATTTGTGTGTGGTCAACTATCTCTAGATATCTAAACTCAAACACATTTTTTGTCGATATTGATAAAAATAACTGGTTCTGGTCGAACCATTTTGTAGGTACATTTCGTTGAACGTAAACTCACTTGTTCACCTAACCGACAAATTACTGATCGCATCAAACCACACTTTCTATCCATAAGAGAAACATTATCTGGTTACTTAAAATATCATATCATATATCATAATAGAATCAAAATGAGTTCCACTTACATCAATCAGGGACAATGCTATTATGGATATGCCTGATATTGTCAAATTTATTGGTACCATGATGCATAGTAGTCCGCCAACCGGTGAACAAGCATTTCTCTCCGCAAGTCTTCTTCTCATCATTAAGTACCAAAACCATTGACTTATGATAACTAAAGTGAAAATGTATTCTATTTGTGTGAGCAATTAATTATCATCATTTGAATATTAAGAACCTACGAAAGATAAATTATCATTTGTCTGTGATTATTTGGTTAGATGGATGTCTCCAAAGGGTTAACTCAGAATGAGGATGTTCTTGAGACAGACGTGATGAATAGTGAGAAAGTAATGATAGTCACACTGAAGGTTTAAGATGTTAATTAGTAAATACAAGTATAACGGATGAAATGTGTGGAATTTGTCATGGATCAGTAATTCTCTGATCTCAATTACTCGGAGAACACGAGTGAATATCGATAAACACCGCCAACATAGATCGGTGCATCCTGAATTTTAAAGCCTATTCACGCACAATATTTAAGATTGATGAAACCAGTTGAGTTATCACATGCAGCTACATCAATCACCATCATCTCTTTTAATATCTCCTCTAAGAGAGTGTTCATTGAAACGCTAATCCCAGTAGAAGATGTGGCTCCAAGTGAAATGCATTCACAATCTCACTTCTCACTCATCTTTTCCGTTCATCTGTAAGTTTACTAATTAGTGGCGAGAAAGTCAAGTATGAGTCAATAAGCAAAATATTTGTACATCACTGTGAGTAGAGCTGTTTCACTTATTATCAAGTAGTTTACATTTGCATAAACAAACGTAAACACTTTCCATCCAGCTGAAAATATTCCTTTCAGAGATGAGAATTGTGAACTGATTTACCTAGGCTAGTTAATATACTTTTACTTAAGAATTTGTTTTTATAAATCCACCTTGAACACATTGTTGCAAAGATTAATGTAAACCACATAATTAGAAGGTCATATTTTTCTTCTAGGTTAACTAAATAGGTATGTGTCCAACTCAGCTATCGATTACTTACATAGAAAATACAATTTTATCTTTTATGTACTTCTTAGAATATTTGAGCAATGCAGCTTTTGATAACTTTGTGAACCACTTGATTACATATTTTTGTCCGATGGCCACATCGATAAAATCCACTGAACAATGCCAATTTCACTGTTGCACGACGTAATACTGTCTCACAATTATGCGTCGTGTCTCAAAATGTTATGTCCATCTATCTATCTTTATATCACTGATCAATATATCTATCCATCTATGGATGATTAAATGAAATTCTTGTACCAAGTCAATCTACCTCATTCCAATCTATCGTAATTGATGTAACGAAGTCTCCTATAACTATTAAACTAAGTATTTTGAGTCCTAATAATAGACAATGCAGATACAGTTTATTAATAAAGTGGATATTCTACATGAAAGTATCATGTGCTTACTTAGTGCTCCAAATAATAACGATGAATACATAAACATATATTTTTCCGGCGGATATAAACCAAAAGCGCTGAATAAAAGAAAATGGAGTTTTTAGTGTAAAGAGATTAAGTGTGTAGTGAAAGTATCTTAATACCTAAGAAACACACCTCATTCTATGGACAAACGCAAACAGTAATGGACAACATCCCGAATGGCGACATCAACACAACACACACAACACAAATATCGATAACAAACATATTCTTCGCTGCAATCGGAGAGATGAAATGACGCGGATTGGTGGAAGTCTCCAAGGACATGTTAAACAGACTTGTCTACACGATCACAATGAAAGCAAGGATAAGGATGGTGACATGGAATGTATGTACAAGGAACCATGGCGTGAAAGCTGCCAGAGTAGCCAAAGAAGTGAGAAGATATGGTATAGATGAACTGATAATCTGAAAGAGCAAATGGAATAGATGTAGACTTTCCCCATTATCAACTGGAGAGTGAGAAATCTATTGCGGTCTGGTTACCCAAACGACAACCGCAAGCACACTGATGCAGTGAGTGGCTATCATAATCTCACCAATGCCATCAACAAAAACAACATCAGCGAATGCTATTATGAGGTGGGAACCAATCTCTTTATGAAGGAGTGTGACAGCAAGATTCAAATCAAAATGAAGCCTGTGCACTTAAAATTGTCCAATGCTACGCACAGTGCTCCAAATATCTCAGACAAAGATAAGAAGGAAGATTTCTGTAGACAAACGCAAACAGTAATGGCAACATAAAGATCCTAATGGGTCATATGAATGCAAGAGGAACATGGAGCAGACCATACAGGAAGAGAACTCAACATTGGTTGATAGGTCCTCGCTCGGTGAAATGAATGAAATTGAAAAATTCTCCGCAGCCTTCTGCGTCTCAAATGCTTTGGTGATTGCAAGTGGCGTGTACTAATGAAAGGATATGCACAAGGTGAGCGAGATGGATTTCGCTTGATGGACACATCAAAAACTAGATATATTCCATCGCAATGCTGCTCAAAGAAGTGGAGAAACAGCCTGCCGGGCACAAAAGAGAGACGGGAAGCAGAAATAGGCCACACCATTATCTAGTTCAAGAAACCTTCAAGGTGAATTTGAAATCCTTCAGAACAACTGGAAACAGACCACTGTAATTCAAGTTCAACACTCAGAAACCTACAAATGATATCTTCATTGCAGCCACCAGATCAAATTCGAAGAAGCTTGAAGTTTCGGTAGCAGTGATGTTTATTTTTACGTGATTGAGTTGCTAGCCTCATGCTCGACCTTCCCTCTTTATCAGTTTACTACTTGTTTACCGAGGTAAAGGAGTGCGTTGGCTGAGAACCGAACGCAGGACCACATGCGTGATCGACGAGCATCCTACCGCTGTGCCACCGACGGACAGGAAAAATGATAAAAATCTACCAAATACGATGTAATGACTGTGAGATCAATCGCATATTTCATACTAGTAGATCAGGGTCAACTAGGTTACTGGAACAAAAAAATTTAGCAAGACCTAGAATACTCCACCCTGGTAAGTTAAATAACCTAGAAAAAAGCTCAGGCATTGCACTGCATTCACTTACATGCAGTCTCAAACGAGGATAGACTAGGACAGGGTGAGAGTATTAAAAAGTAACATAGGTGTCAAGAGAGGCTTTGTTCATCGATTCAACACCACATACGTGTAATCGAAATGACGTGACGCCTATACTGGAGATAAGGAAAGTGGCAGCAAACAAAAAATTAGTTGGATGAACAGAAAGAGAGCAAACATATACGAGACAAATTATGAGGCAGTGCGACTAAAATCGATATGATTATAAGCAACAATTTACTCTCGAAAGGTCATCCAGTTGTTAATACTGCATCACTGTATGATATTTATTAAAAATAAAAATATCTAATATGAAATTACATTACATTCCACAACAGTGCCAAAGATAAACACTTACATCAATGAGTAATATGAACGAAATAGATATGGTATTAGGCTTATATGAAGACTTTAGAATGCTCTTCAAGACGAACTCTCAACTGTACTTTCGAATTCTCAACCATTAAATAAGATAAACCATTCAGAAAATGAAAGCGTCCAAAGCATCTTATTCTGCACTGCCATGACTTATCCTAACATCGTGTAAAGTAGCTTTGCATCAATGTATAATATTATACCTATGCTTTGTGAAAATACAGCAATGTGCCACCCTTTTTTAGGTTTGTGTCACTACAAATTGCAGAAGAGATCCAGAAGTAAGTGGTTGATGCTTGACTTGAGGATTTCTTGGCAGTTCATTTGCCTTCTTAGCATTTGTTTTTCCGCAGACCATGTTTGAAGAAGTACACAAAACCTCACTTAGATCGAACTCAATTTTTCTGAAAAATCACAGCTAAGGGGGTCACATGAGTAACCAGAACAGTTACAATCTTAGCTGCATATCTACATGCATACATAAATATAATCTTCACTCACCTCACGTATGGAACAACTGGTTGTACATGGTCATAATAAGTCGCGATAAAATACCTGAAATAAAATGGGCAGATAAATATCTTGCAAATACTCCCTTTATACTCCCGCTAATTACCTTTAGATAGTAAGAAATATATCACCTTCAAAGTGCCATTTGATTATGTTTTTTGTGATTTCGTGGTGTAACGCGTTTCATCGACTTAGGTCGGCATCTTTAATCCCTCAGTAAGCAGTTCATATAGGATGAAATTACCTTACAAATTACACAATGATACTTTCAACTGGTTTTTTCACTATGTCCTACCTTTCCTGATTATCGAACTATTCCTGTGGAGATTCTTCGTCGGTTTGGAATACTACCGTAGAACATCTAATACTTATTTGTTAGAAAGTTAATTCACCTATGTGTTGATTTGTTATTTGCACTAATTTCATTATTTCTACTTTGATTTTTCGCAAATCAGCTTATGTGATATGCAAATATTTATCGGTTGAAAACAAAAAAATGATTCAACTAATTTCAGCTTGGCATTCAAACTACTCGTATACAGAAAGCATTCGTTGAATTGCTCAATGCTACTCATCATTATTTCCTTTATGCTGTCGGTGACTTACATTTAATTGCTGTTACGGATAATAAAGCATACTGATTTGACAGAAATTTACCAAGTGTATCCGTTTACGAAAAATAGAAATATGAAACCGCTTTATGAATACACAGGGGACAATACAACCAGGTAAATAGTAGTCTAATTCAAAGTCCATTTTTACTCACATTACTGGCAACCAAAAGAAAGCGTGAATGGCGGCAAAAAGTGGTATGCGAGATGGATAAAACTTAGGCCACTCCATTGGGAAAAGCTTTTGTATAATAAACTACCGGATATTTCTACATATGATGAAGCAAAAGAAGAGAAATAAGCACACACATATTTAATAATGTTTGTAAAACATTGTTAGTGTTATAACGACTTATTAGTCAGATTTCAGAAATCTAATTCAATACTGACTGACGCCAGATATCAACTATCCTTATGAGACGACAATTATCACAACAGGGTAAAAAGAGGTTTTCTCTTTCAGAAATGCTGCGGAATTTTCTCATTTCAGCGTTTGTGGTGAATTCGGTACTTCAGAAGAGTCAGTTGTGACCTAGATTAGTCCAGCTGCCATCAAGAAATGTTTAGTGGCACTCAAAACCTAGTACTTGAACAACAATTTGGATAGACCAGTGTCTCACTTTTATCCAGTCATTACCAGCAAACAGTAAATTGAAACAGAGGCTCTTATGTTACTTCTAACACTACTCGTACATTAATACACTGAGGCAAACTTCTTACTTACAGGAAGTGATCGCAAACTGCAAGACTTCATTTCGAGTGACGTGGATGATTCCATAAACAAAAACAAAGAAGTATCATGCACAATTAAACCTTTCATATGCACTATACACCACTTGTGGTTATCTCAGAAATCTTACCCAAAAATTCAATTGATAAAGATTGGTTGAACCAAGAACGCCCCTTCGATCCACTGTCAATGGTAAACGATAGTAGAAAGACTTCTTACGCTATAAATTTACTTGAGGCCTTTTGAATAACGTATTCACAGTGCTGACAAGACTTTTGAGAGTAACAGCTATCCGTGTATGTTTCAAATGCTCAATCATGTTCGTGTAATTTCACATACTTCGAATGAAAAGGAATGAAGCTACTTATAGTAAACGTTATTAGTAATGACAGTTTAAAATGGCTGAATAACCGAAAACTTGATCAGTTCGTCTACAACATGAAGGAAGCGTGGTCTGTTCCAGTAGAATTAATTTGACGTTGCTTTTAAACAGCCTCGATAATGCGACTACGGTGAATAATTTCCTGGAATTTCTAATAACTATTGACTACCGGAAACATCATCTGATTGATATATGTCAGTTTTATTTTGAATGAATGAATTGAACAGCCCAGAATAATTTCTGGCCAACATATTCAGTTAATGTCGTCGTATACATTTGGCATCTTATTTAAAATTAACACATTTTGACAGTGGATGACATTAGAGATTCGTAAAGTAAAGTTTGTCAATAATTGAAGAAAAATGTCATAGGAAATTCATTATTCGCTTGAAATAATTTATATATGGCGTGTACAAATTAGTTCTACTGAGGAAGGACCTTCTGAATTGAGTTTGCTCAAATTTTACTTGTTTAAGCAGTTTTCAGTCAGTCTAATATGTCATCAGCTGACATCAGTTAGAGAACCACTGGAGAACCTGTGAGTACAGGACAGCTGTTTCGTCCTAGTTTGGGAGTCTTCAGAAATACGCAACAACCGAGATTCGAACCCAGGAACTTCTGGTTACAAGGTGAGCCAAACTAGGACGAAACAGCTGTCCAGTAGTCCCAGGTTTTCCAGTGGGCCTCTAACTGATGTCAGCTATTGATGAAATCCTCCATGCAATCAAACAAAATCCCTACAAAGCCAATACTTAAAAATCTAATATGTATATATATATACCCTAAAACGTCGCGTATTATTATGTTTGTCCACCGTATGAATGTTGTCTTCATGAAACCCCGTTATTTGCCTGTTCATATATTGGAAATCAACAATTGTTCATGATTTGAAGATCTATATTCATTCTGTCGATTGGCACTATCTTTCTTTAAATCAAACCATCAATATTATATTGCTTTTATTATTTACCAGTTGGCATGCTTGTGAATACTTATTTTCTCTCTCGTTATGTGTTCTCTCTCAATCCATGATCACCGTAGCCTTACAGGTCGCTCAATTTAATGTCAAACAGGTAAATTAAGGAAAATATAAGAGACAGTGGAGACAGTTATCTTAAATTCCTCCAAGCCGGACACATTCCATGACCAACACATGCAAATTATGCAATTATTTATGCGCTCAGAAATTTCTAGTCTCCAATCATCCCAAGCTACCCCGGCTGTAATAACTCCTCAATAGATGGAATTTTTAATACATTCCACTGTGATTTTGGTGCCAATTTCATGTCTCAGACTTGATTGAGACGATTCGAAAACAATTTCAAAATGGATTTCGATGGCGAAGATGATTTCTGGAAAGTGCATCTCCTAATTCTGAGACCGGGTCCATCTGGAATTGACCAATATTTCAATAGATTTCCTCTCCAAGGCACACTCGATCGAACCTTTGACGCCATACTGCAGACATCCAGACTACACTTTTGTGATCATTCCCTGCTCTTTAACTCATGATGTCGCTGTCTTAAGCCATCCAAGGACGAGAATGACGAATTTCTCACGCTTCTTCATATCATTAACCTTAAATCTGACGATTTGAGTTGAAATCTTTGACAGACGATCTATTAATTTCAATGATACTCATCTGTGGTCTATTGTCACCTAGACTTGTTAGCATCAGAATGATGTTGCCTAGTAGCCACTAGCAAGACCCGACCATAACACTGAATAACATCCGTGCTGAGCATCAAAGACTGACACACCTCCAGCATGATACACCCTAGTTCAATCAGGATGCTAGATACTAGAACCAACTACGATGGTGAATGCCTTTCGATAAAAAGACAACACGCAGTGGTTTCCTAGATGCATTATTTAATCCAACGCGAAAACTGCCTTGGGACTAATGGCAGCAAAGTATCACCATGCTGAATACGATCAACCAGGCGCAGGAAACAGAATACGGGCTTTCATGTTGACCCCACTCCATTCCGAAAGGGGAAGGTGATATGGGGATCTATATTCAAATCAATACATTACTACTATTATGCAATAGTTGACATGGGAGTAAATATTTGTTCTCTCCCTCTCGTCGTGTGTTCTCTCTCAACACATGATCACCTTCACCTTACAAGTCATTCAATTTATTATCAAGCGTATAGCTAAAGAAAAATGTAAAAGTTCATTATGAACAGAAATGGCGTTTATTTCTGTCATAATCTGATTCCGTTTAGTTAGTAATATAACGTGAAAAATAATGTATGGTAAGTATGGTACAGCATTGGAAATTTTAAGATTTTTGTTTGAAGCAGGCTTATAACTCATTCAATAGTATGAAGTAAACAACCTTTAGTACTGTTAAATAACATAAGCAACTACTACGTCTGGTCAAATTCCTAAATGCGAGATAGAGGTACAATTTTCAGATTTCAAACATCAGGATGTATATTAATCAAACAATGGAATCAAAGACTAACGGAAGGTCTCCGTTGAGTAATCACAATATAATTCATGTATTTTCAGCTCACCTGGTTACTGAAAGTTACAGTTCAATAGTCTAAATGATAAATATATTCCACTGTTGTTTACGCAACTGCAACAAAAGCGTTCATTTATACAATGGTGTTAAGATTTTAGGCCAATTATAGATAAATTTTACTCAGTATTCAGCTGTATCACATAAAGCATACTAAGGCATTCATTGATCAATAATTTATTATCACAAATGAATCATAAAATGTGACCAATAAAATCAGTACAGTATTCAACAGAAAATGCACAAGTTAACCTGCTTTTGCTTTTCTGCAGCGACATGCGATACGAAACAGGTTTCATAAGTAAATTTTTAAACTACTCTTAGTTAAGTTATGAATGCTATCTTGTCTTTGGCTTTGGTAGTTACGTTGAAAACCAAGACGAGAGTGTTTGAGAAGTTTCCTGTGCATCAAATAATCTTGAAAATCTTACTACTCACAGTAGTTCAGAAGGCACTGTCGACAAGTCCAGAGGTGAATTGAAACAGATGATTCCCCGTCACTTTATACGCTTCTTCTGTGTGAGATCACCACATGACTGAATTAACTGTATGATCAGTCAAGTTTCCACAAACTGAACGAATGTTTGTTCTGTTGGTGATAGTTAAAACTCGGACAAATTTTATTTGTAATCTTGCACTATTCTTTCTTGCTTACCTACATTCGGAATGAAAATCTATTCAGTGTTTAAGACTTTCCTTCTTCTTTGATCAGATAAATCGTTACTTCTTATTCTATGTACAAAGATGGAAAGGTGCATATTAGGCGTGTTTGCTTTATTAATCACACAGGGATTCACCATATTTTAACGTATAGCAGATAGATCAGTTCAGAATGTAACACTGAACTGAATCATTTTGAGCTATCACACTACTAAGTGGGACGATTATTAACAATGAAGGAGGTGCACTGATATAAAATCAGGCTAAAGTGTTCATAGAGAGAGACAAAAAAAATTTCGTCAGATTTTAGAAGAAATGTTCACCATTTCAAAGATGGTTAAAAGAGAACAGAGTTGTACCAGTTTCATCGAACTTTAAATGTCTCAGCGGGGCTGTGCAACCATCACTTCTTGTTCACATTTGCGAAACACGCTGAAATTATTTGAAACAAATTCTCAGTGATGTAATTCGGCTTGAAACTCATATAGTTCCAGGATATTGTCAACATCAGTGGTTTGAATAGTTACAAAATTATTTCTTTATTTCTAAATGTTCGTAAACATGCATTCCAATGCATTCATCAGAGTTCAAACCAAAAGTTAGTGAATGCATTTATTTAGCCTGTTTTACTCTGAATAACTGATTCACTGTTTTATAAACGCTTTTATGTTTCTCAATAAATGAAAAACAGAACGATATTGTTTTCAGTAAGTTTTTCCTGTAAAAGTGAACTTGGTTTGCACCCTTTTAGGTTATTTGAAAAGGGATTATTTTATCGAAGCATAAATGTGATTCACTTCAGGCTAGCAGTCAAGAGAAAACGCTCACCACACTCTGCCCTTGCAGATCAGATCTATAGAAACAGTTCAGTTTTTAAGAAAATATCTTTACTTCTCGTCATGCAGCGTCAGCAGAGACTCGATTCATTTATTAATCAAGTAAGATCCAGGTAGTTCAAAAGCTTACACCTTCTTCATGAAGCCGAAATTTTAACTTTCCAAAATGAAAAACCTGAAATTGGTGTTCAAAAGCACTTCATCAAACCTCGTTTACTACCATGTCTGTAGTATCAGTTCTATTTTTTTGACTGGTTGTATAACAAGCTCTGTCATCTTTCTACTTTCTGTGTTTTACGGGACCCACTTTCAGCTTTTCGTTCTCATTCCCTCTTAATTATTTCTAAGTGACTAGTCATCACCTAACCAACTGGTCGTTCATCTTCTCAATTGTGTGAAATTATTCACTGCCCATCACAGATTGTTATTTCTCACAGACTGATTCATTTTTGTTACTAACTGACAGTAATATCTGAACTTCATTGTGAATGAACACTGCAAATGCACACCCCTAAATAACTGTGAAGCTTTGAAGAGAAGTTACGAAGGCGATCTTTATGCTGATATATGTGTGTTTTTAGTCCTTATCTCACATGGATTGTTCACATCTTGAATAAACTTCTGGTATTGAGATTGCGTGAAACGCAAGTCAAATATGCCTCAATTTGTTTTCCGTATTTTATTATTATTATTATCGTTATTACCACTAATATCCATTGCATTTTCATTTTGTCCGATTTTGCCGCCCACACATTCTAAAACAGACAGATGTTTACATTTGTAAAAAATTTATATTTGTAAAGTCTCAGCGAGATTGAAATGAGTAATTCCCACGTTTTTCAATCTCGCTGAGACTTTACAAATATAATTTTTTACAAATGTCTACTTCTCACTCGGCGCCCAAATATTTTAGAACTATTCTGTCAAATCTTGACGACTGTTCATTTGAAGACAGATGTTTATTTCACTCAATTTCGATTTTCCTGTGAATTGACTGGGCCGAAGTGCCCGGTCTCAGGGTGACATGTAGGCTGCTTGTGTAGATGCTTCGACGATGTCTGATCATGCAGCTTGAAGTTAATTGGTTGAAGCGTCCCGAATAGAACGAAATGTGAGCTCCTGGTTTCCTCTGCTAGTCACCATCAGTCAACTGACTTCAGACAGATGTTGTACGAGGAAGATATTCCGGAGAATCTGAAGCAGAGCAAGACAATACTCATCAGTACATTCATAAGGATAATTCAATGAAAGCTTACGGAAAGGCATCCATAGCTAATGCGACATCGGCTGAACGTTATTCACAGCTGGAGATTCTCATAAGAGCAGTTGGTCCAAGGTGAACATTGCCACCTGTTGGACTAAATACGTAGTGCAACTGTTTCTCATGATCTGACAAACTATAAAGATCTAACTGTTTTCTAGGTTTAAAATCCACCTGATCCTCTTCGTTTCAAACAGATTTCAAATGAAAAAGCTTCATTATTCTTGATAAAAGGTTTTTCACCAAGAATGATAGACGACCAGAAACTGTCTGGTGAAAATATGTGTCTGAAACTTCAGCGATGTGCTAGGATGTCATCCCTTATTACTTCTCTGTTTATTAGATATGTCTTACAGTGAAAAAGTATTATTTACTGGATGACGTTTCGAACACAATTCATTGTTCATAATCATGTCAGTTATAATCACACGACTCCGAAACTTCAGTTCTCAACTTCCGATTTATAGTTTTCTTTGTCCTCTCCTATTTGTCGTAGGGGAAGTAGAATTCTCTAGATATCTGTGACAGGTGATGAATCATTCCCATTACACGTGTTTGCAGTTGACTCGATAAACAAGGCTTCTGTGATCAGTATATCCCTAAACCCTGTTACATTAGATTATAAAACTGTCATCTTATCCTATCTTATCGTATGGTTGCATGTAATTGCATGTAGTCAGTGCTATCTGCGGCTGAACTATTCTCCAAATTTCTCATCTCATTAGGGTCAACTAACCCAGATATTTGAGTCCCGCCAGTCTGACTGCCCCAGTTCTACTACTCTGACCTATGTATTTGAACTGACAATCATCCCAGCAGGGTATTGGATAAACTAAATTGCTTCACCTAATTGGCTCCACAGGATCGATCCTTTAACAAAACTGACAAAACTTGTTTCTAATTGAGTTTGTGGGTTTGAAAGCCAGTTCTACTTCTGCATTGTAAAGAGATCTCCGTAAGTTTTCCGAAGTTCCTCCATTGTATGTAAGTACTGCTGATGATTTAAACTCCCAATAGCAGCTATTGTCATTATACCGTGAATGTTTGACATCCATGTCATCATTACATTTTTTATTGTTATCACTGTCCCAAACATTATTCTTAATTTTATTTTTACATTTTTCTACATACTTCCTGATTAATTTGTTGGGGTAATTATTAAGTTTGAAAGCTTCTCTTATATGCCTCACTTCCTGTTTTAGATTGTCCTTAATACTACTTAGTTTTTGTGCCTAATTACTTGAACACTTCACCAATCCTCTTTTTACTGACATAGAGTGGGATGATCTGAAATCCAAATATCGGTTTGAATGTGTTGGCGTCCTGTAAACATTGATGTTTTACTTCCATCTTCTTATCCATTCACGCTACAATCTAATATCGGAAGCTTCTCTTCCCAACCGAAGACTGCCTTTGTCGTGCCCACTGGATATTTTGAATTCAAAACCATACCATTTCGCCTATTGAATGTCCTCGCTACGTTTCAACGGCTCGTGCGCGCAAAGCCCGCGGTTTAGTTCCTAAACGGTGCCTCATCTACCTGGACGACGTCACCCTGTTCGGGCAGTTGCTTGAATAGCATCTTGCATGCCTCCGAGCCGTGTTTTGACATTTAAGGGAGAGTAACCATAAGCTAAAAGCCTCTAAATGTCACTTCCCGACGAAGTCTGACACATTCCTTGGTCATAAGATTACTCCATAAGGGGTTAGCACAGATAGAAGCAAGATGCAGGCGGTCCTGAACCAGCCCACCCTGAAATCGACAGCACATTTATGCAGTTTTTTGGGTCTTGCTCTATATTACCACTGTTTCTTTCACAATTTTGTCAGTGTGTCAGCCTCTCTTCGTCAATTAACGTCAAATTGCCGGGAGTGTGCTTGGGCTTACGATTGTTAGGTGGTATTTAGTACGCTTATAGAATAATTAAACTCTTCCTCGGTCTTATCATTTCCAGATACATTGCCTAGTAGCGGCCATTTCATCCTGGATACTGACGCTGATGCACAGGCGATAGCATCTGTTCTCGCACAGGTCACGTCTAACAGGCAAGTGTAAGTTATAGCATACGCTAGCCGGACTCTGGACAAGAGAGATATGCGGCATTCCACGAGTTACCGTGACATGTAAGCTGTTGTGTATTTCTTCAATTAATTCATGGATATTACCCATCCAGGCATTAATGAAAGCAAAACACGTAGTTCAGCGAAGAGTCTCTTTTCGGTGAATTCATTTTCTTACCTGTGCAATCACGAATATGTCCGAGATATTTTGTATGTATCTTTATACTGAGTTTGTCGAATATAAATACAGTTGGTCATGTTTAGTTTAACTAAACAGCTGAAAATAAGTAAGTTTTGGTTGAGTTACGTAACACAAA